TTTGGTAAGATATATTATTAGTCATTGTTCGGCACTATTACCTGGAAAATAACGGTAAATTTCCTGCTGCATTTAAATCCGTTAAAAGTTATAGTTACTTTAAAACTTCAAATAACGTTCTATAACCTCAATTTCTTAATTATATTTAGCTGAAGTGGTTTACTTAAACGCAAGTTGTTACGGTAGTAAGACATATGTTATTTCCCTTGTTATTGCTCGTCGTATTTTTTTGTTGTTGTTTTTACCGACGTTTTTCATTTGTTTGCTTTAAATAATATATTCATACACGTGTCTGTGTGTTCTTGTACACGCACACGCGTGTGAGTTTAGGCTCTGTGCCAAACATCCTGTTCAGACAGGCTTAGCTTGTCACAAGCAAGCAGCAAGTGGGTTATGCCGGCCGGCAAACCGCAGTGCTAATGATAGTTACCGTAGCATTAATTTAGGATAATAGGTGGAGTATGTCTTATGAATTGTCAGCTACATGCTGTTCACGTTTTACCTACCTAAATGCCTTCTTTTATTGAGGACACTTCTGTAATTTGGAATGAAAGAACAACAGCAGTAAAATGAATCAGATTTTCGTATTATAAACCGACTCAGAACACGTCGATGCTTTAGATTGTCACACTCTGTTTCAGAAGAACAATCTCCAAAAACGCTAGGCTTCGACTTTATTAATAAAATACTCAAACGAGCACACGTGATTCATTTATTGTTATGTGTTGCGCTTGCAACTGCAATCTTTACTGAATTACTAGTGATTTATTGGAGAAGTGCAAGTTAAATTGTAGCAAATTAATTTTAAGAAATTCCAAAAGCCCAATAACAATTTTAAAACCAAAATAGATATGTAACTAAGTAACAAGATGTGTTTTCTAATAGGCTTAGCCTTACTTTCAGTACTGTAACTTGAAAAAAATGTTGTACGAAGAATAAATATTATTTCGTATTGTTGTAAGCTATATTTTTTACTTTTCAGTTTAGGTGTTAGCTAGAGGGCAAATGACGTTAAAGTAGGCCTATAATACCTAGAAAGTTCTAAGTTTAACGTCTAGTAACTTCGACAGATATCTAGAAATGAGACATAAGATATAAATACTAACGGACCTGCCAATTAGTTGTTTCCAGTCGATGGAGTGTCAGAAAGTCAATTTAGTGCAGTGGAGTATTTGGATTAGCGTCATTTATCGCGTATATTCAGTTACTTGATCGATTAGCCGTGAAAATGTAAAAATAAGTGTATTTTTACGTTAGTCGTAGTACCGTTAGCGAGGTATTTTGGTTTGAACGTCATTTATAAACTTAGGCCTATAAGGTTACAAAAGTATGAGCTTGTAGAAACTTTAAGAAATAAATAAATTGATTTGTTATCGTTACATGGACTGAACTTCATATTATTCTCACCAAATAATTTAAAAGAACCTGCCAATAGAAAGAAAAGCGTTACAACAGTATACCCGTTTCTAAGACAACATCCACGCACTGAGCTCACTGAGCTTCAACACGACCAGGCTGTTACATATATTTGGTAGCAGTATCTGTGAATTATAGCTTATTCGGTAACTTTACATTTATGTTTTTTTTATTCTGGTTTTGAGTTATTACACACCACTACTTTTATTTCATTTGCACACCTACTTTTCGTGTGTTTTATCAATCGTTATTTCTCTATGTAGTTCTTCTAGAGCCACGTCTGCATGGCTGATGGTTAGGGGACCCAATTTGCGGGTTCGAATTCCACCACAGAACATGCTTACCTTTTCAACCGTGGGGGCTTTATAATGTTTCGATCAATCCCAATAATTCGATTAAAGTAGCCCAAGGCGGTGGTTTATCGCTTTACAATAAAAGACGGCTTGCGGCCTGGTATGGTGGTTAGGGCACTCAATTCGTTGTCTGCGGGTTGTAGATTCAAATCCCGTCACCGAACACGCTCGCCCTTTCAGCTTTGGTGGCCTTATAATGTTACGGTTGGTAAAGAGTATCCCAAGAGTTGGCTGTGGGTAGTGTTGACTAGTCTATCTTCCCTCTAGTCTATCACTGCTAAATTAGGGACGGCTAGCGCAGATAGCCCTCGAGTAGCTCCTGTGCCTGCTCCACGATATGTGACCACTTGTGGGCGAGATATTAGGTATCATATGTCCCCTTCTCTTATAGCTTATACCTTTAATAATGTAGCTATTTTAGAAGATTTTGTTACAATTCTAATTCGGAACCCGTTAAATCCTGACTAAGTGTTTAGTGTTAAAGAAACACTAGATGTTACTTTCTGATTCAGTCAAAGATGACATATACTATCTCATCTGCTATTTACCCCTAATGTAGGAAAGTCCACTTTCAGGAGCGATCGGGTTACTGAGTTTCTTCTATGTTGATAGTAGCCAACATTCATCTTGAGTGTAAGGCTATTTTATGCCCGTCATTTGGGGTGGTAAATACCAAGAAATTCGAATAATTTCGTCATGTAATTAGTCAGCTATAAATAAAAATGTGAAATGTGATAACCGTTTTGGCGTTTTTAGGGAATTCCGTTTTACTCTGTTTATGAAGTCAATTTGCTTCTTCATGCCGATCATCTTCCCTTTTTACATTAATTAATTTTTAATTAGAAGATTACAATCAGTTTGTTATTTGATCATTTTCATCGTATTTCTGTTGTATTTTTTCAATGAAGTATTTGTCTTCATTAGTTCAGTAAAGTGAAACAATTCTTGTTTCATTAATTTAACAAACGACAGCGAACTACACCTATCTTTTTGCACAATAAGCCCTTGTACCTCTATATAGCATTGCAGTAATCGGGAGATTATGTGTATTGTTAGTTCCCAGCCTTATAGTACCACGGGAAGTGTTTTCACAAATAATTTATAAAGAATGCAAACACGTATGTAGATAAATAGTGGAACAACTAGTTGTGGATTCTGGCCTCTTTTTTTGATGTATGGAAGAAAATGTAAGCAATGTACAAAATCGTCCCATTTCGAACATTGAATATATCTATGCATATTCGATGACGAGGAACCCACTTTGAGACTAATAATTCTTGGAGACGGCTGTTATGTTAAACTTATATTAAAGTTTTTCTTCATTACCCATTCAAGCCGTCGCCAAGCGTTATAGATATGCATAGTTTAGTAAATGAGAATGTTTGAATAGTGCCCCTGTTTAGTTTAAGAAACATTTATTGATTGACTTAACATTTATGTGCATACAGTTTTTGAGGAAGCCACATTTTTAAGATTGTTTATTTTTTATGAGAACACGAGTAAATTCACGTATTTTTTTATTTTTGTCTTGATTATACAAAGCGTTATTATTAAGTAATGGGGATATTCGCGTTGTTTGAAAGAAGCTTATTATACATGCCAATTTTAGCTTGTACTGTATCGTGTAATCTAGTTTGATAGAGAAGCTGATCTGGGACTTTGACCCCGTAACGTTATGCTTATAACCTCCTTATATTCACTTGATTTTTCTTGCGTTTTTTTTTTTATTGTGATAAAATTGTGCATAAAGAACATCACGCATCAGTAGATTGTGCCTTTTTAATGACTTTATGATTAACTTTGTTAGTGAGAGATGATTCACGGATAACCATGCGTTTAAAGTGTCCTTCTAACTTTTGTTCCTTACTTTTGGTGATTAACCATATAACAGTGAGTAGATGGGCGGGGATAGAAAGATTAGAATTGGTAGAATATGAAACACCTAGAGGGAGGTGAATTTATCTTTAATGCCCTTGGAGATAAAGAAAAAAGTAGTCACGCTGGTTTACAGTTGACCCATAAAACTAGGAAGGAAGAAAAAAAGACAGAGATAAAAAATATCTAGCATATAAAGCTAACGATCCTTAACGTTTGCATGTACTGTTTTACTTTATATGTGTACAGAATACTGATTTCTACTTGTCCTCGTTTTTCAACGATTCAATTCACAATGTAATAATAACTAAACTGTTGAAACGTGTATACAACTATTTCAATAATTATGAATGTAACTAAAAACCATCAGTGAATAGGCATCTTTGAAACTGTGTGAAAATCATGTGTTACTAAGAAAGACTTGAAACTATTATTATTTTTAGGTGAAAATTATTTTACTTTAATCGTACATGTAATGACACGTAATATTTGTACTAATTCCTCATCCTTATGACGTTTGTTTTTAGATTTCTACACATTATGCCATGATAATTTTTGTCAACCATTTATATTTGATTAGTAGAATATTATACTGTTGTTATACGGTGCCTCATTTACTACCCTTTGAAGATGGTTGTTTTATATGTTTTGTACACTAAAAACACACATAAATAATAATTTAGACTGTTCATCGAGTATACCTTGTTGAGCAGGTCATGGCAACGAGAGCGAGGTTAAATGAATGCCAAAATATGTGACCTACTTTTAAGCAAATTGCTAGAAGTAGCAGTACCAAGTTAACAACCTTGTTTTTCAAAAGATCAACTAGGGTTAGTAGGTTATTGAGTGATGTGGTTGTGATGATTATGTATGAATATAAGCTTTACGTTTTGAAAGAAAAATTAAACGATAAATGGAGAGAAAAAAACAGTCAGTGAGCAGACTTAGTTATTTTTACTATCGTTTTTAAATCTCCTGACAAGCAAGAACAACGTATGATAAAAGTGAAATTTATCTTATACCTCGTATTTGATATCTGAAATGTAAAGTTGGAACACCATTCCAAAGTTGAATATCCAGTTAATGCAGTTATCTTTAATTGTATAAATACAGCCTTTTTCGGTAGAAAAGGCGGAGCGTTTAAATATTATTTGGTTAAGAGGCTTACATAATTGGTTGTCAATTCAGAGGTCATCGAGCTTTGTGAGGGAAGACAAGTGGCCATTGGTTTATTTCGGTTCGACAAGAATCGTACTATTAATGCATTTTTATAAATAATGATAATTTTCCATTGAACTAATAGTTTTAGTTATTAATCTAATATTTCTTACCTCCCCATCCTTTTTTTACTTTCAGATACGAATTTTGTTCCAGTGCACCTGGCCAGGCTGTGGCAGGCAGTATTATCGTTGTGAAGATGTGGAAAAGCATGTACGCATGCGCCATTTACGGTAAGTACACCACTGACAATCGTTCTATTGCATTGTTAGCTTAGGACTAACCTAAATCTTCTTAGCTAGCCGAACCTCACGAGATATTATTAGGTTTACGGTCGAAAATATCGTTAACAGCAGTGGTGCCCAACTGATGAAAAAATGCATTGTAATCTTGGTAAGTAAGAACGTCAGAAAAACATTTAATTATATATACTCATTAATAGGCTCATTTTAGTGTTAGTTTAAGTAGGTAGCGTACTCTAATTAGAAGATAATATTAATCATGCCGGCATACTAATATTGTGAATAATTTCAAGTAAATATTTTCCAAATAATAATTATTTTACATTTAATAGTATTTCACATGCTGCCAGGAACGCAATTAAACAAATTCTTTCATGTTACGTGGGAGGATTTATGTAAATTCTTTTCACAAATTAACAACATAGCGATTGTTGTTTATTTTCAAATTTGGAGTAACGTGTTAAACATTTTGAGCCATTATGTAAATGTTTTGTTTTCCTGCGAGCTAAAAACAAATGGAATTATATTTAAGCGGGAAGTGCTTGAAATATTAAATTTCTTACGTATTTACCTGGAAACAGAAATTCACTCCTTAGATAACACGTTGTGTCAGTGTACTTATTTTTATTTGATGAGATTTAGCCTTTTATTATTATTAATGATTTTTTAAGAATCTGTATCAGCATTTTTTAATGATTAGCCAACATGATTTTCAAAAAGTTAATATCAATTGATCTTATTTGCCTAATATGAACTAAATATTGTTAAAAGCTAAATAACTTGATTAATTAAATACTAAGTGCATGCATTTTTTTGCTGTATCTTGTATAAGTGTGCCATTTTAGCTAAAATACTTAACGAGAAAATTATTTATACAAGATAAAATTAACCTTAATCATGTAATTCATAAAATTTATATTTTAGGCATTCTACAACTCAACCTTCAGACAGCTGCGATGAACACGAGGAGGAATTTTATTACACAGAGATTGAATTAGATGATCAGCAGTCACCTCCTGCTAGCCCAGAGGACAACACTGAAAATGTTCCCTTATCTCCAGGATTGACCAACATCTATACTTCGTCTGCACCAACACTTAGTCATCTTGATATGGTGAAGCCTCCACATGAAAATCCAGAGTACAGAGACCCTCAAAACAAAGTAATAATTGACCATTGTTCTGATTATTTTATTGATCAACAAATTTATGCATAAGGTATAATAATATGCAAAAAACTTAAATGTATCTTTGGCATGTTTAGAAAAAATAAAAGTTGTAAAAACCTGTTTTAAATGGATATTGTTTTTTCAAAGATAGATAAATTAGTTAAAGGCTTCCAGGCTTTGGTGCTATTCGTAATTACAAGTATGTTTTGGTTTTTCAGAACTTAATATTTTCCACGTATACACGGCTTATGAATAAAATATTACATAAATACTAACCAATAGAAACAATGTGAATACAAAAAAAAATTCACATCCACTGGCAACCTCATGCAGTCAGCGCCCTCAGTGATATGGTATGAAACTATTAATTTATTTCACTCAAATCTACCAATATATTTGATACAAGATAATATTAGAACCTTAAAAATACAAATGAAAAAAAAAAAAAGATTAAGTTAACCTGTTTCAAAACTCAGTTGGAAGAAAAATAAGTATTTCTCTTTAAACTTAAGTAGAAAATATTTTACAGGCCCTCTGGATTTGCTGTAGGAAGGATTCATTCAGTTATTAAGTTTAATATTTTACAGTTTCATGAACATAAATGGAAACCAAAACTTAATGATATATATATATATATATATATATATATATATTGTAATTTTCAAAATGGGGAATAGACAGACCATATTTTTATTATGAACACTTTCTGGAAGTTTTAGGAATGTATTTAAATGTTTTAATTTCTATTCTCATTCACACACGGAGTATTTTTTTGTTATTCTTTATACAAGTGACTTACTTCTTAAATGTTTTTTCACAGAAGCTTATCTTGGACAGCAGAGTATCCCAATCAAAACCTGTCAGTATCCCCAAGTTTCAACCCATCATCCACTGGCAACCTCATGCAGTCAGCGCCCTCAGTGATATGGTATAAAACTATTAATTTATTTCACTCAAATCTACCAATATATTTGATATAAGATAATATTAGAACCTTAAAAATACAAACCAGAAAAGGTTTTTGAAGTCTCCAAGAATCGACATTTATAAGTATAATGTCATAATAGTTTTCAAAGCATAGTATTCACTATCTAAACTTTCTAACAAAAATGTTTTGTCACTTTGTTTTAAAAGAAGAGCACTGTTGTCCAAGAGAAAAAACACCTGTCTGATATTCCATCGCATATGTGATACTACCCTTGTGGTATTCAAATACATAGTACCCAAAACAGTGGGTTCTGGAAATGTTATGCAGTGAATAACCAGAACATGGTCAATAAAGGAAAAACATACAAACACAAGTGAATAACTAAACAAAATCTTTATTCACACTAATAGTGTTACGTATTTACTAAACTGGCCAGCCTCTTAAATTCTGTTGTGACTATGCTGGTTGCTGTGATGAAGTGGATTTCCAAAAATGTTTACACAGGACACAGACAAAAAGATTGATGTTAAAATAAACTTTCAAATCAGTATTTGTATTTATGGCAAAGCTACTAAGGCTGCCTGCTATCAGCCCTAAATCTGAACTACTGACCACAGGGACAGCAGCCAGTCAACAGCACCTTACCACCCATGTTTAGGGATTGGTTGTTACTCTTATAATGCACCCACAGCTTAAAATGTTTATTGTATCATAAGGATTTGAACTGACCACCAGCTCTGAAATCCAGAGCTCAACCAGAGAGCCAACCCTCCTACTATTCAGTCAGACAATGGGATCCAAGTGTGGGATCTCATAAGGTACAGATTATGCACACCAATGACTATTCCAAATGAAACATTAAAGAGAGAGAAACCCCAATTTGTACAAGTTCTATGTCACTCTTTAAGATGGGCTTGCCATAAGGAGTGGACACAGGGCTAAACTGGTACAAGCTTCTACAAGATAGATGTTTCTATATGTATCTTTTAGCCAATCAACAGAACTAGCACAAGTCTATGACTTTTCTACAACAGCTTAAAAAGGTTGTCATATTAGACTGTGTTTTAGGTGTTAAGTCAAGTGATATTTTTTAAAAATAAAATTTACAAATCAAGTGCTTCTTATTTATGTTTATAAAGCTATGAGAACTGAGATAAAAGCTGTTTGTTCATAAAGTAATGATTTAATTTTTTTTAGATGAAATACTACCAACAACTATTTTTCTGAATTACATTAAATGTATAATTTATGAAAACAAATATATAAAAAAGGTTTGCTAAAACTATAACTTTTCCCCAATTTTTAACAGTAATTTTCATGTTACTCAGGTTTTGTCACCAAAGTATGTGAGGCTGAGTCCCAAGTCTGTCTCACCACCTACAAAGATTTCTTCTGTGCATAGGAGAGGTCGATCTGAAATACGCAAGTGTAGAAAGGTTTATGGAATGGAAAACAGAGAACTTTGGTGTACACAGTGTCGGTGGAAAAAAGCTTGCACTCGATTTGTTACTGAAGCTTTAACTGATTAGTTGTTGAAAATAAATTCACTTACACATCAGAAACATTTAAAAGAAAGTTTCAAGCTGTTGCAAATGAATTAAAGAAAACGTTTTAGTGAAAAGAATTGCAGCACTAACAAAAGTATCTAAGGATGCACGAGATAGTTAATCTCGTAGGTAACGTCTGTTAACTTTATTGCTCATAACAAATTATGAACGATGGTTTAAAGTTGTTTTTTTGTCACAACTTCCAAGTGAAAAGTTTAAGGTAATGTTTAGACTACAGATATCTACATTCCTATAAATTAATTTTATATTTGTAAAGCTACAGAAATTTAATGTTTACAAGGGTATATACATGTATACACACAAATATATTAAATATTAATTGTTATTGGTATAGTGACTTTTAAATGATTTAACTATATTTACTTTTCATAGCAAATTTTATTGTACTTTAGATTAATGTATGTTAGCTCAAAGATGAAAGAAGAGATATTAATAGAACATTTTAATGTTTACTAAGAGACTTAAGTTACAACAGAAAGAATTAAGAACTTGTTTCACTGTACGCCAGTTGCATGTAATGATGATGACTAGCTTCCAGTATGTCACACAAAAACACACTTTAATGTATTCCATAAACAAATTTACATTGTGAAAGATATGAAATCTAAATATTGCTTTGATTTCATTTGTGTATTTAAATTATTGGGATTAATACATTTTCAGAATTTACCAATGTGATGTGGAAAGAGAGGGTATTGGTGTCTAAAATTTGTTTGTATTTTACATGAATTATCTATTGATTGCTATTGTTAATGAAAGATAAAGTAATTGAAAATAGAAAAAAATCACCTGCCTGTATTTTCTTGTTACTGCCATTCAGCATTTTGATAGGATTTTCGTTATTTCGAGAAAATTATCTTTATACGTTTTGTTTTTGCTCAATAAATTGATTAGTTATTAGAAAATATTTCGAGGCATATTGTGTGAATAAAGATAAGAGTACTGTAGGGAAACTTAATCAAGCAAAATCCAACAGTCTATCTTCTGTCAAAGTGTGTTTAGACATTACTTGTGGCATAATGAGGATTTCACTGGCTTCCATTTCTGTAGGTGGATTTCTAGTGGCATATTGGACTCCATCCATATTTCGCTAATGAAGAGTGATGCCTGTAAAGTTTAAGATACAAATCAATGCCTTGTTAAAAAGAAAAAAGTACAAACTTTTCATGAAATACACAGAAGTGCCATAGGCAGCAGTAAAAAAAAAGACTTTAATTAAAACCTACAGCTCCATCATTGTTTACTACTAAGATATTGTATTTTTTGTATGTTATTGTTAACAAACTTGTGTAAATTGTACAGGTTTGTCTTTGCTCAACAAAATTATTTACACATATACGGTTGATTTATTCACATGCCATGGTTTATTGGGATTACAATAAAAGTTATAATTTCCTAGCTTATTTATTATTAAGGTATCGTAAATGATAATTTTTTATACCATACAAACATGTATGTGTGTGTTTTATTCTTTAGTTTCTATGTTCGTTTGTAATTTACGGAGGATATCAATCAACTTTCAAGATACTGTTGTATATTTGTATTCCTCACATCAACTGTTACTTCTTTTTCATACCCAGCTAATTTTGTATAATAACCATATAAATGTAAAATATATTCACCACGGTATTTTTTTTTTAAGATGATGATTTTATGACAGACAGTCATAGTATTATTAAGAGCTTACAGTAAGGATTATGGCAACTGGATGTTGATCACTATCATGGTTAGTAGTCCTATATGTACACCCAAGTGATCATACAGGTTACTAACCATGGAAACACTTCATGGTGATGTTGCTTTCATTGCTATATGTGGTATTGTATAACTTGATTTGTTAAATATTCTATCTCTTCTGCCTTTATTAAACTATTTGTAATATCTACAAACTGCAAAAATTATTTGGGAAACCACAACCCTGCTAAAACAACTTGCATATTTACATAAGAATTATTTACAAACATTGTTCCCGAAACCACACACTAGTATCGTTGTTGGTCCTTGTTATTGATATTAAAGCTGAATTAATACAGGCACTTGAAACCTAAAAAAAAAAGTAGTTAGAACTAGTGTGACAGATTTAATTTTCACTACAGAATGTACTTTCATCAGTTTTAAAAATTATAGGTTTTATAACTAAACAGAAAATCTTCAAATGGAAATTACAACATTTCACATGTAATCTTTTAATGTTTAGGAACTGATTTAGAAAGAATTTATTTCTGAACTAATACAGATGCATAAGAATGATATGATCATTCTACCACGTGTATATATACACACACACATACACGTTTTGACATAATATTATTTACAAAAATCATTTCTGAAGTCACCAGTATTATTGTTCATTTGTATTTCTTAATTCCCAAAATATTTGGATATAACTATTAAAATAAATTGGCTAATATGGCACAAAAGTTAAAACAAGCCAAGGATTCTATACATTTTTGCCAGTTAATTTGTAAACTTGTAGATAATGCAACATCTGCTCTAAAAACGTTAAACCTAACTATATACATATTTTGTAAGTTATAAATCCTCAATATAAACTCCTTTTTATTATCTGAATGTATGAAAATTTTGCACCAAAAAGAGCTGCTACATACGTTATGAAAGGCCAAATAATCTCACAATGATGTGCTGATACATTATGTTCCACTGCAACTTTATATGGCTGTGGTTGTTACATGACTTGGTAATTTGCATATTCAAAATTGTTTCAGTATATTGTGTGTGTGTGTATATATCAAATCACCAGGTCTGTTAGCTCTCACTGACAAAAATTAAGCATTTTTAAAAAGCTAGACACAGATTGTATATATTTAAGAAATCACCAGGATTTTATTTCTCAAAGAGAATACTACCTGTACAATGTTATTCATACTCCTTTTGTTTGTTATTATTATTATTCATGAAATGTTTTCAGTTATCAATTCATTATGTTGCTAAAAGCATCAACATTTAGCACTGGACTGACCACAGAGATTCTGGATAAGAATATCTGGTTATTAGGCTGTGAACAGTAAACCAACCAGAACAATTAAAAAAAAAAATAAAAAATTCAGAAAATATTCCTGGTAGTCTTCTCATATAAAAAAAACGTTGTTTAGCAATATCATGAAATTAAATTATAGTAGCATTCCCTGGAGTGATATACAGATTATTCAACATCTTATAAAGCTATGGAGATGGAGACCAATGGTGTCATAGACAATAGGATAATAACTTGTATTTACTAACAGCACACTATTAAGAAAAATTCTTAGTCATCACTCTTGTAAAATAAATAATTCAATATTAACATTGTATTAAAATAGCAATATCCTGTCCATATTCTAATGTCATACATTTTATTTATTACATATTTATGATAAGCTGTATCAACCTTTTGGTTCATGCACTGCCGGGAAAAGAACAGCAGCACTGAGAAATAGGATTTAATATTTCATTTTGAATTGCCTTTCAGTGTATGGTTTTAAGGAATGTCCACAGCTTTAAAGTAAAATAGAAATTACAAAATGTAAACAAGATTAGACATTATTATTAATACATTTATATGATGACAGAAGATATTATTTATACATCTTTTCATATTTTGATCTCTTGCTCTGTCAAAGAAAAAATACAACTTTAAATTGTAAGTAGAAAATCAACTAATTTTAATCAAGCCGTGTTTTTGTGAAAACGTGGTAATTACGAGATAAATTCAAAATGCACCTTCTTATTCAATAAATGGGAAATAAAAAACTTTACACATTTTCTACATTCCAAGAATCTCTTACAAAATGTAACACAAATACTAAGCAAAATTTATCAAATAATTGTTGTTAATGGATCAAATCTGTGAAAAATACAGCAAGACTAAAAATAAAACAGAAAATTATTTTATTAGTAACTTAACAGGTTCAATATAATGCAAGTTTTTTTTTATATAAAATATTATTAAAAATAAAGATATATGGTACCATATACAAATATTTTTATTTTAGGCTAGCATTAAAGTGAAATAATATGAAACTTAAGAACAGGTGCAAACAAGGTTTGTCACCTAAAGAATAAAATCTGACCATAAAACATTTGGGCAATTTCAAAACTAGAAGAAAACCTGATGCTTTTTTGCCTCATTTTTTTTTTATTATTCACAACAAAAAGAAATCTTACAAGTTCTTAACTTTACATAGTTTTTTCTTTCTTAAAGCATTTTAATTTCCCTAGTTTTTCTGTAGTAAAACAGCAGAAAGTTTGTCCTCATTAAATCTTTCACTGACATTATGTTTTAAACTTTTTGTTCATAGCCTGATTTGAAAGTATACATGCTTCTTTTAATGTCAGAAATTCAACAACATGAAAATGATTAAGACATTTTAATTAAGAAACACACATACATTACATAGCAAATATACATATGTAGAAACAATACATATAAATGTCAATGTGCTGTCTGGACCAGCTATAAAGTACCTATATGAAAACCCTTATCACATCTACATCTTAACCTGCTCATAACTCTAACTTGTACTCTAAAGCTGTCCCACCTTCAATGAAAAATTTGAATTTTTTCCTCAGAATACTTTCAAAAACTGGTTTTCCACTGTATCAATCTATATATTCTAAATTATGCACAAAACTATTACACTTGTGTCTTTGCTATTTTCATGTACAGGCTTTATAGAAACACTAAAAACACACATTATAACTGACTGGCAAGCATAAATAAAGTAATATCAGAGAACATTCAAGCACTAAACATCAAAGAAACAAAACCATTCAACTACAATTTATAAGTCTGACTGATGTGCAAGCTACAGCCTAATTTCTAGAATGTTTTGCAATTATAAGATATTTAATCATAAACCATATACGAGTACACTAAGCAAAAACATGCATGAATTTCTTTCAGTTACCAATTTTATAAAAATTGAGATTAAATGTTTGCAAATATTAGTAATTAATTTGATGTAATATGAATTTTTAAAATATTTGGATATAACTATTGAAATAAATTGGCTAATATGGCACAAAATTAAAAACAAGCCAAAGATTCTTTAAATTTTGCCAGTTAATTTGAAAACTTGTAGATAATGCAGTACCTGCTCTAAATATTGTTCTAATACCCAATTATACAAAATATGATTTATTTTTCTGTAAGGTTATACACTTCGTACAAGTTTAAAAGATTATAAAAATGTATGTCAAGAGTGTGCAACATTTTAAAACCAAAAACATTTAAAACAGCAATGAAATAATTTGTTAGTGTAATATTTTATTAAATCAGGTGATTTCAAGTATTAAACCTGCACAAAATAATACTACGAGTTATAATAGTAAAAACATCACAAACTATACTTGTTACATTGTTGAAAGTAAGCAGGGAATAGAGTTGATAAATACATACATTCTAATAACACAGTCTTCATATTTATATACACAATTCTACTGATTCAGCTTCAGAAACAAACACAACTCATTTCTAAGCTTTAAGAAGCTGCCTTGTTTGAGCTTTTGTTTTCTTGGAAGATACATATCCCTCACATAATGAAAATGCACACTCATGGTGAAATGAAAACACCTTAAAAGTCCTTGGTTAAGTGAAGTTTTTAATTATAATAAACTATATATATATAATTATGTTCTGATCACAACAACTGTAACCACAATATTACATTCCACATGCATGTCCTAAAGAAGGTAATATTTTCACTGCCACATAATTTGTTAACACCTTCCATAAATGAATACCTCCAATATATTTTAACTAATCCTACAAAATGTCAGTATTAAATCACAATAAATCTTTTTTTTTTCAACTATCCTTTAAACATGTTTTGTTATGGTGTAATATATTAAAAGTGAATTTAGTTAGTGTTTTAACAACACACAAAGTGGGTAACATATCTACCTAATAAAAACACAGTAGAAATACATATGGGAATTACTTCACAGAAATTAAGTGCAAACAGATGTGCAAGTTATTTAGGATATAAAATGAAACAATTTGAGTTATACTTATTTAAATTTACAATACTTGAAGTTTCTCAACAAAATATTACTGGACAAATAGCAACTTTGAAAAATATTCAAGTTATGTGACAGTTTTAAGGGCAAACGTTCATATTTCATAATATACTTAACTAACCAAATCACATTTTTATATAACAAAATAGAAATTAAAACACACACTACATAGCTAAATTACTGTTAAAGAACGAGCTTTATATAATTCCATACTAGCATCAAATTATTGCCCTCTTTAAATGTAGTTATATCTAAAAGATGATTAAAACTAGTCTAACACAGTACATGTATGATGAGTCCAGTAGTCAAATGTACACACTTAAAACCCTTTGTTAAAACCATACACCTTCACAACACTAAGAACTTGCTAAAACTTCCTATAGGGTCAAAAGTTATTTACAAAAACATTTTGATCATTCTGTACTACTTGTGTGCCTTATTTAGCTTCTAAAGGATGGTTACCAATTCCAGAACTGTTACTTATTTTTTAGAGCGTTTTTTCTTTTTCTTTTTCCCAGGGGACCCAGATTTATGATTGGCTGTTGATATAACATTGTTTTCATTTTCTGTGATGGGGCTCTGTGGTTCACTGGTAGAGCAGTCCTCTGTAAGCCCTAGAAAATAGACTTCATTCATAAATATATTTATTTATTCAACAGAGTACTAGTTTTATTATAAAAGAATAAGGCACAAAAATTTGTACGACCTCTTTCACATTTGAACAAAATCAACACAGTTACATTTAATTTTATATATTTTAATACACACATATATTCATTCTGTATACAGCCATCACACATGCATGCATACACACTATTAAGGGTGCTTTCTTTTTGTCTCTGCTTTTACAGATAGAAGTATCATTGTCCTATTTTTCTACCAAATACTCCGTTGTTTCTAAAACTATGATGCTATAATAATGATCAAGGGCATGTGTAAACAGGAGTGAATAATATTAATGCTATTTCACACGCATTCACAATGGTTGGGCCTACCTACTGATGTACTAAAGCTGATGAGATCTTTCATACTTCTGCTTGATTGTGTTTGAGCCTCTGAGAGAAAAGATCTGTGTCTACCATCAGTTTAACAGAGAGAAAAAACAACAACAACTGTAAAACACATTTTTACTTGTTTATTACTCACCATTTGACCTTTCTTTATCCTCACCCTGAAGTTCCAAAGACAACATATTTTCAGCTGTTAAATTTACCTGAAACAAATTATGGAATATATTTTATGTATTAGCAGAAAATGAATTTTCAGAAAGAATATCCAATATCCAAAAATCAAATTATTACACAAACACACACACATATATAAAGAAACAACAGAAAACCTATCTTATTCATCAGTCTAAAAACAAAAATCAGTCACAGATTTGAACAGACAAATCAAGTAAAAAAACAGGGTTTCTTTTAATCTGTTCAAAGAAGAATTTTTCTGAATCATCACAACATTTCTAAACAATACATTTATTTTTGCAATTGTTTTAAGCTTGGTTTTTAAACTTCATAACACACATAGATATTCATATCTCTAAACTACCTAAATCACTTGATGACCAATGTTTTCAGAAGCCAAAGAATTTTACAGAATGAAATTAACTGTATTTATGTATTAGAGTAAATTGCCTAAAATTATGGGTAAAATTTCACTTCTTTATATGGTTAACAGCATTTCCAAAATTATAATTTCATAAACTAATATTCATCATTTGACTAAAAAGATTCATCAAAAATATCTTACACACATAATCCCAATAAAGAAAAACATCATCTGACAGCTTCTGGACATTTTCCTAGTGTAAAAAAAATGAACTGGCAAGGTTCTTCGTTATATTTTGTTTGGTTTCTTTGTTTCCAATATTTCATGCAAAGGACTACCTATGCATAGCTGTCCCAAATTTTGAACTGACAGGAAGGCATTTAGTAAACAGTAATCACCTCCAACCTTACGACTACTATTTTGTGACCAAATAATAGGATTTGACTGACAGACTATAAGGAAGGCATTTAGTAAACAGTAATCACCTCCAGCCTTATGGCTACAATTTTCTGATCAAATAATAGGATTTGACTGACAGACTATAAGGAAGGCATTTAGTAAACAGTAATCACCTCCAACCTTACGACTACTATTTTCTGACCAAATAATAGGATTTGACTGACAGACTATAAGGAAGGCATTTAGTAAACAGTAATCACCTCCAACCTTATGGCTACCATTTTCTGACCAAATAATAGGATTTGACTGACAGACTATAAGGAAGGCATTTAGTAAACAGTAATCACCTCCAACCTTATGGCTACCATTTTCTGACCAAATAATAGGATTTGACTGTCACTCTTAAGGCACACCCAAAGTGGAGAATAATGTGGAGTGAATGTTTGCAGAAATGGGCCAACCATGAACTCTCAGAAGAACAGTCCAAGCATGTTAGCCTCACTTTGCCAATTATGTTTAGAGTGCAATAAGATAGTTCATGGTTGATATTTCCAAGCTGCGATTTCACTAAACAGTGGGAATCTCTTTCATCCTGTTACCAAACATCATGTATGTTCATTCATCTACATAAACTTTCTTGATGTCACTGTCTCTTTGGACAGACTTCTATCCAATAATGACATTATTGGTATCTCAAGTAAACCAGTTTGATGACAAAGATGTGTTTACGATGTTCTTGAACAAAAATGTAACTATTGTATTTGTGTGGTGAAGTGCAAGAATGTGTAAAAATGGTTAACTGAAAAAGTTTTTTTTAAGAACCCATAATTGAAAGTAAAAAAGAATATCTTATACCAAGTCAACCGCACTACGCTTGCCCAATACTTTCACCCAATACAAGAGCTCATCAGGCTAGCTGAGATACAACACACTATATACGTATCATCAATTTTCAAGAATGACTGTTATGGAGTGAACCAGATTAAGCAAGTGAGTTGTAATTATTATCAACTTAAGTCATTTACAAATCAAGTTTTTATGGTAAGAAGCAACAGCATAACACTATTTGTTTATTCATATTATTTTTAGACAGACTTGTAATTATCCTTGAATTCAATAAATATTACGATCCAGGTCAATAGTACTAGCATGGCTTATAATTTTGTTTACACCTTTAGAGATAATGCCACATCTTAAAAAACAACTTCAAAACCATGCACTTGGAAAAGTTGCACTGATGACATTTTTAATAATTTATAACTGGTTCTGAATAGATTAACTTTTTTTTTTTATCACATGCAAACTTCTTTCACAAAACTTTCAAGTTCAGCTTTGACCAATCCCATAGATGCCTCTTTCTTATTGAAAGACAGCCTTCTACTCTCATTTAAGCAGGAAATCATCTGACATTACAAAAGCTGTCATTTACCCTACTACATGAAATATCATGTACAAGCCTTGTGTATTAACAAAGTTTGTAGGGATGAAACAAATAGAAGAGAACACTGAAATAACAGAACAAACTACAATAAAAGACTAGACAAACCTAAACAAATCAGGTTTAACAACAGTAAAATCTTCTTTCAGCATTAACAAAAGACAATCATGTTAATATCTAAAGTAGATAAAGAAGTTAATAAAATTTACAATTTGAATACAATACATCTTTGGCATTGAGGATTGCAGAAACAGAAATTCTTGAATCTAATCTTTGTTCTGTTGCTTTATTCCACCTTTACTAATCTTTGTTCTGTTGGTTTATTCCACATTTACTAATCTTTGTTCTGTTGGTTTATTCCACATTTACTAATCTTTGTTCTGTTGGTTTATTCCACCTTTACTAATCTTTGTTCTGTTGGTTTATTCCACCTTTACTAATCTTTGTTCTGTTGGTTTATTCCACCTTTACTAATCTTTGTTCCGAAGATGTGTAGAGAAGCATGAGAATAGGGTGAAAAGGGAGTTAATTAAATAAAATTAGAAAAAAAACGAATTTGAAGAATTGAACAAACAAATGAAAGAAATACATAACTAATTACAAGTAGAAAAATAAAGTCAAATTTTCAGATAGAAAACTAGTGGAACTGTCTCGGTATACTTCATTAGTAGAAGCAGAATAAACCAATAAATTGTAAAAACTGCAAAGCACAAAATGTGAAACTGCAAATTTCCATGTATATCTGCATAGACCAAATTAACCTTCATGCCAAAATTTGGTGAAGATCCTTCAACAGGGGGTGCAGTATTGGTAAAAATGCCCATAAAAACTGCAGAACACAAAATGCAATACTGAAAATTTGTATGTATCTCCCTATTGATCCAATGATCTGAATATTACTGAAAATCCGTACTCTGCGAAGTAGTTAAATGGACAGACAACACTATTATATTTATATAGATATCCACTTGTTATCACTGCTAATTGTGTATGTTTGGAAATTGGCATACTTTAAAAAAACATCATATATAATAACATGTACATTGGACTGTTTTGTATCTTTGAACCTTTTTTAAATATTATAATATTTCTATTACTTGGGAGGGTCAAAACGGTAGATAAATCACAGATCAAAAAACTCTAAGGGATAATTACTTTCAAAAGACAGATGTACATTCTTCATAGATGAATAGGGACAGCATAGAGCAAAAAGTAAATAGGCTGGTTTTGAAAAGGAGCGTTACATATATGGTAAGCAACTTTTCAATTCCTAAGATAACCTTTCATTAATCATGAACTTACACAACTTTCATCCAGGGGATGGGTACTCTAGCTAGTATAAAACACAGTAAAAAAAACATGCTCTAACATAAGATTTAACATGTTACTGAAATTTAAACAGGTTAACGGTAAATATATTTCTTCTTTTTTCACACATTCCTGTTAGTTTATTCATTATGACTGGAAATCAAAGGTTCATAATAAATACCATTTAAGATATATCATCTTTTATCATCTACAAGTTACTCCCTACAAGATTTTCATTCAATACTAAAACTTATTAGTTTGGTTGGACATTGAGAGGCAAAAGAATCTTTGAAAAGTTTGTATTATATGCAATATAATACTTTAAAAAGCTACGGTTTAATGCAGAAAGTCAGTAAAATATTGGAAAACTAATAATTGTTATAAAAACAGGTTATATGCAAACAGATACAAAATGCTATTTATTCTACAGCTCTAATTTTGAATGAGGAATGTAAAAAAAAAAAAACCAAAAAACATCTGCAGTTCACCCATTTTTATAACAGTCCTTAGGCCTATGGGTTTTTCAATATTTCACTGGCTTTTAGAATTTAAACCATAAATTTCTCTGATGTTGTTCCTAAATAAGCTGGTATCACTGTCAACAAATTGACAAATGTTTGTTTTTTGACAATATCCCTTCTTAGCTGTTTTGATTTTTACTGCAAGTATGACAAATAAAAGTATACAAGTAAAATCCCATAGTAACAAGTATAGTATAATTAAGAGGCACTAAATATTGCATACAAAAATATCTTTTAGCCAATATTAAAATTTTTTAACATTAACAATACATTAAACAGCGAAGTATAAACACACTTGAATTATTTCTGCTGTACATAACTAAGAGTGTCCCAATATACAACATATTTTAGTCTTCAAAATTATAGTTGTAAGTGGAAAATAAACTTATTAAAAAGAACAAGTAAAAGTATACTGACTCAAAAAGCCACAAATCAACACCAACATCTATTACACAGAGTCTAATACACAAATGCATTAAATAGCAGCAGCAAATAAGTTCAACTTGAAAGTGTTAAATGTTTCAGTTCCACTCTCTAGTGGGTTTTTGGTATAAAACTATACAATCAATGCCGAAATACATTTTTTTCTTTCAACAACAAACATAAAATAGTTAACTATTGTACCAATTACAAGTACTAAATATAATATACCTTTTCTTTACGCTTGTCAGGACTTTCTTTATAATTCTCTAGGGTATGTATAACCACACAGTTTCCTATGATACAGACATACAAACAAAATTAAATATATGACACAAACATATATTACAAACTTAAAACCACAAAACAAACATGACAAAAAATATCTTATAATAAGGAGTTTATTTTAATCTTCTGACTGATATCAATCTTTATAATAAAAAAATGTGAATAACATATCAACTTAAAAGATTATGTATTGCATAAAAGTAACACTTCTATTTAATCAGAAACTGTACTTTGATATCCAAATTGTTTAAACGTCTCCCGACCAGGATGTGTGTTTGTGTCATTGACATCCATTGAGGTCTTTTTTTTCCCCCTTCTTACAGTGGAAACACCTAACCAAACTACATGAAACTTATTAAAGATTCACTAAATAGCACTTCGTTTTGGCTTTAAAAAATTCATATGATTTGATGTAGTTTTTTCCTATAAATTATGTTATAAATTTTCAATATTTTGTTGAGAGACACTTTTTTGAAAAACCTTTCAACTTGTTTAATATTCATTAAAGTATTACTATTTTGTCAACTGTAGTATAAACCTGGCTATAGATCATAAAAAAACATAGTAAAAACTGACAGTTTTATTGGTGACCTATGACATGACTTGTCATAACTGGCATCAGACAATGGTAGGTAACAAAACTTTTGCTAATAATATTCTTTGTTGAGATCAATTCATATAAATTCACTTTCTTTTTAATACATAAAAAGTTCTATTATTTATCTACATCATTTGAATATGATAAATTTAATATTTAATAACTAGACTTGAGTCACTTGGATATTTTGCCACTGTGTAAAATACTCCCTAAATCTAATAAGGGTTACCTAATATCTTGAGAGCAGGAACTTTTCATAGCTTTCAAATAATTATAATTTAACACTAAAACATTTTCATGAATGAAAAGAATACATAAATAAATTACACCAAAAAGTCCTAGATCTATAATTTGTTCCTAAGTATTCTAAAGTTCCCACAAAATTATGTTGTTCTTTTCTGCAAGAGCTAAATCTAATTGGTTTCCATGAAACCACAATTTCTCATACAATTTTATTCACTCAACACTGATGTAAATAGTTTATAATCCATTTTATCCAATAGTATTTAACCTTCGGCTGTAGTTATTTTCAAATCAGAATTTTATTAGGGGCTTCTCAGACCACATTCTGTGAGGTAGAAAAAAAAACTGGTGTGAATGACACACTGTAGTAATAAAACCAGAGAAAGTGAAGGAAAATAGAGTAAAGAACTCAACCTTACGAACTGACAGTTTTATTAGCAAATATAAGCATATGCTTTGGGATGGGCAGAAAAATTCTAAAAAAAAATTATAAGTTTGTTGTTTATGGAACTAAGCAGATCAGGTATTCTAAAACATGTTTCATTTTTATTTGCTAGTCACACAAAAGATATATTAAAAAATGACTTTTTAAGTAATTAATCCTTCAAATAGTTAGAATTATCACCTTTACTTTAGTTTTGAAATTTGACTTGCAGATGTGCACCTGATAACTGAGAGGTGCCCAGTGGTCTGGGTGAGGTTAAACTTTTTTTTAAGTTGAAGTTTGTCAACACTAGCTACCTTAGTCTTACATAAAACTATACATAATCATTACACAATATATATAACAGATACAAAAGCCCACAATAACACACACAAGTTTTTTCAGACAAAAAAAAATTATCTTTTAAATAACATCTAGATATTTATCATACTTTGTTTGGACATTCTATGAGACTCAATTTCAATAGAAATTTTGCTATTACATCTAATAATTATTGTTTTTTAATATCTCAGTTGGTTCAACATCATAAGCTATGAAGATTCAAACTATTTATTGCCAACTAACCTTCTTGTTGACTGTCATGAAACAAAGGTGATCCAGGACAACCTGGGGATTCTTGGACTCTGCAGGAAATCGGCTGGGTTTTGTGTGTCTTGTCCTGGACAGACAAAAACCTGACAGAAAGTAAATTTCCAATTGTTTGACTTACTCTATATGAACAGTTCACATATTCCAAGTTAGTTTTAATATACAGAGTAAGAATTTTAGGAGACTCCACAATTCTCAATACTGGATTTACTGGAGTTATTTAGCTGATTTCAAAAATTTTTCTTGTACTCTCCTCCCAAGTGGAAGTGGTGAAAGAAACCAGACTAAACAACAGTACAAATCTTCTAATAATTTATCTTAAAATATTCACTATGGAGTTGACATGAGAGAGAGAGAAATTAATGATGCTCTCAAGTTGCAAAAATTTATATGTACGAATAAGCTTCATCTTATGATTGCAATAACATAAAAAATCTTTGTTCAAATGTTTCAACTATATGTTCCTTGAGATATATCACTTACTTATATGGATTAAAACATCTACAGGCCATTTATATTTAACTACAAAAAGGAAAATAATAACAAAGGAAATTGTAGAATTACACTGTACTGTGCCCATTACAGCATATGATATAATGGTGGAGTGATACAGGGAATGGACTGTTAAGTATACAACCACAACTACATTCATATTGACAGTACATTTCATGCAGTGTACAGTACACAGTTGCAATGTGGTACTGGTCATTTTTTGTTTGATTATAACCTGTAAATGATCCTAAAGTTTTACATTAATTAATTTACGTAACTATGGCCTATAGGTTGTGTTATTAGTCTGCTCGAAATTTCATATTTTTTTTAGACCCAAATTCAACTTAGTTACTAGCTTGATAAATTATAGTGGAATTCTAAGGTATCGATAAAGTAATTTATGATTTTTTGGTTATTAAAATGTATATATATAAAATTTAAAAAAATTATTTCGTTTTGCATCCTCCACCTGCAAAATTTCTTAAAGCTTAGCAAGCTACGAGAAGCAGCATCTAAGTACAAAGGTCATAACAAGAAGAAATAATTGTTTGCTTTGCTTCTTCATTTACAGTTCCATGTTTTAAGAAAAATAAGTTTAAGAACTTGATTGTAAATAGTAAGAATCTGTATACATATATAATGTATAATAATTGATATGTGCCTGTATTTTACAAAATACTAGTCCACTAAAACACAGCCATGACGGGTCACTTTGTGAAGACTAAAGGTCAGTTTTATATTATTGTATACAGTAACACAAGAGCACATATGCTGCATCATTGTAACTTCTGTATTGATAGTCAGGTACGGATTATAGGTCAATATAATAAATGTACATAAGTGTATAATTTTATGATATTAAAATAAGCTATTTTAGTCTAAACATTTATGTTTTCTTGTTATAATTTGTTGTAATTCTAGAATGAAAGAGGCATAATTTATATTTCCTAATTTTTTATGGTGGTTACGAGATCAGTCAAATCTACCATGCCCGTACAGAGAATCGTTAGTGAAAAT